TAATTAAAACTAACTCCACAAGTACTAGAAGATGGAAAATTGATTTTATAAAATCAGGGTAGCATCATTGAGGAGAGGAAGATGTGTGGTCGTTCAGGGCTCTTCGGAGCTGTGCCCCTTGTGATACTCTGCCTGTACATCTCTTTTGGGACTTTTTTTCCTTTAACTCTCCCTGTTTTTATGATTTCTGTAGGAAAGAGGCTTGCGACCAGTACTAATCTTGAGTACTTTTTTCCCCCCTATCTTCAAGTAAATTAATGTCTGCTCCAAAATATCATTTATCTACTCATCCTTTCTTGAGGAAAAGAAAATCAGATATCAGTTCTAGCAGATGTTGCATGTAAATTGGTAGCAAGTAACGACTGCAACTCAGATGATTAAGAAATTTGTAAGAAAGCTCTGCTATGTTTTAATTTTATATACAATTATGATAATTAGCACATTGTAAGACTACAAACCTCTGCTTTTTAATGTTGATTTTATTCTTTATCACTGTTTATGTACCATTGGTTTCATAATGTAAATACTATACATTGAACAAATTAAATGTCAAATTTTTTATTACCATAGTTCAAAAAAAAAAAATCAGGGTAGAAAAAGTTATTAACCATAATTCAAACCCCTTAAAAAAGAAGGAAAATTGATAAACTTGACTAATAACATATATAGCATGGCCCAAGAAATAAGCAACAGAAAAGCAAGTGTAAGTAGAAAAAAATAACTGCCATTTATATCACAAAAGCTTTTATGTAAGTCAACTCTAGAACTAAGAAAAATGAAAATAAATGAGCAATAAGAAAAAAGTTTTCCAAAGTTCAAATAGCTTTTAGCCTGTAAAAAGATGGTCAGCTTCACTAAGAATAGATAAACGCAAATTAAGCTTGCCCTCTAATACTGTTTCTCAACTCTGAGGTTGGTGAGAAGCCCACACGTCATTGGCAATGCTCTGGGGACAGGGCCACCACCATGTTGTGCTAGTGTGTGTGTGTGAAAGGCAGAGCCCCATGGGGGAACTGAGCAATACCTCATAAAATTGCGCACATGTTTATCCTTTACCCTAGCAATCCCAATTCCAGATATACTGGCAAATACACAAAGACAAATTGCAAAAGATATTAATTGCAGCTTTTTGTAATAGCAAAATTGGAACCAATTCAAATATTCTTCAATGGGCAGCTGGGTAAATAGGGATCTTTACACATAAGGACTATTATACAATTGTATAAAGACTAAGAAGCTTCTCCACAGGCTACTGTACAGTTATTTCTGGAATGTAGTATGTTGTGGTTTGGATGCGGTTTAATGTTTCCTAAAGCTTTATTGCTGAAATTTAAGCCCTATTATGAGGGGCATACATCATGAGGGTAGAAACTTGATCTGCTGTGGTGTTTAGGGGTGAAGCCTGTGGGAGTGACTTGTAGGCAATGGCATTAGGATGGAGCCCCAGCACCGAATCCTGGTGGCTGAATAAAAACAGAGAGTGGCTGGGGCTTTGTCTACAAGGTGGAGCTCTTGTCGAGCATGAATGAACACTTAATTTCATCTCTATATGTAGATAGATGATGATAAATAGATGATAGATAAATGGTAGATGGATGAGTGAGAGGCCAGAAAACCATGTCAACGTGCGTGCATACACATGTGTATACATGTATTTCATCTCTCCCCACATGATCCTCCGCATCTTCTGGAGTCTGACTGGTGAGAATACCAGCATCAAAACTTGCCAGGTAGACCAGGCTGGCCTAGAACCTGCCTCTGTCCCCTGAATACTAGAGTAATGGTGTGCACCACCATGCCTGGCTTTCCGTAAATTCTGAAACACCAAATAAAATAGTGAGCTGACTAAAGTTCATTCATAGTGAGCAGAAATAGATACTAGAACAGAAGATACATATGTACGCAGGGAGAAGAGTGGCACGGGGTGGGGAGGACAAAAATAACCTGTTTGTTTTAAAATAGCATCAAGTTTAGAGAACTGTCTTAGAAATAATGCAAAAACACCCTCATAAATCTCTGTTCATGTCCCCGTCTCTACGTCTGTGTGGTTAATCTTGATTGCCAACTTGATGAGGTTTAGAGTTACCATGGAAACAAATGTCCAGGTAGATCTGTGAGAGAGTTTCCAGATTGGGTCAGCTGAGGTGGGGGACCTACCCTAAATGTGGGCAGCACCATTCATTCTATGGGCAGGGGTTCTGCACTTTACAGCTGTGAGTGCAGCTTTTTCAAGTTCCTGTCACCATCCCTTCCCCACCATGGTGACTGTATCCTCCACTGTAGGTCAAAAGAAACCCTTCCTTCCTCAAGTTTGATTTTCTCAGGCATTTTGTTCTAGAAACATGTAAAATAACTAGTAGACTCTCTAATTCTCCCTCCCCCCCCCTCTCTCTCACACACACACAGAAGCAAGTTAAGAGAGTACAGCACACATTTTATCCCTCAGTATCTCACTGTGTAGTTTCCAAGAACAAAAACATTCTCTTTCCTAACAGTACGGTTTTTCAAATACATGAATGTTGGTATTTCACGGTCCATTTCCTAAACTGTCCCAAGAATGTAGCTGTTCTCCCTCCCAACACAAAATCATCACCTTTAGCCTTCATACCACTTGGAGTAATTTAATTTCCTAATTTCTTGTCTGCCAGGATATGAACTCTTTAAAGACATGATGTACTTGTTTCATAGAATCCTTAGTTTGGGTTTTTCTAGTGTTTCTTTGTAAGTTAATGCAAACCCCACAGTCCTGAGTGAAGAAAACAGAATACCATACCCATCTCTTTATGGAGATGGAGACACACTGTAGACACCTGTATGCCACTAGCAATGATGATACTGACCCATGGTCAAGGATGTACCCAGTTTCCCAGAGCCTAGACCTAGAAACAACCTTTGAAGACCTCTTATTCATTGCCTGCTGGACTGTAGGGCTGTTAGTGGGGTCTCTTATACCAGCTCTCCAAATTCAGTGCTGTGTCTCACATTTGGGAATCTGTGTTTCATGTCCTTAACATACAAAGGAGGCACTATATCATATAGTGTGTTCAGGTACCTCAGTCAACCCAGGCTGTATCGTAAAGCTAGAGCGGTGTCCCAAGAAACAGTACAGATAACATCTTCACCTGGATCCCGAAGAGACGTCCAAGGAAGCTCTACTCAGTCAGCTCAGATTAAACATGGCTAACACAGTCTGCAGATTACCCTCCAGCCTTGGTCACCACCTTTGTCTTGATGTCACCAGGTATCAAAACATGGTGTATGAGGCCTCTCCTCTCCCTCCCTCCCTGCCTCCATCTCCAATAGCCTTGACTCGGGCCCATTCCTTGGATTCCATGTCTGTGGCCCTGAAGGATCACAGATCCCTAGCATCTCCTCCTGCCTCTGTCTTGCCTTTCTTACACAAAAGACAGCATCACTCTCGGACTTCTGTCTCTGGTTACTTCTAGTTCCTGAGTGGGTCTGTGAGATGCCTCACCTTTTAGCAATCTGTTCAGTGTAACAGCCCTCAGCCCCTCACGACACTGCAGCCACAGGGTGGGCTTCCAGATTGCCCGATACACATGTTGTCATTGGGGGCGCGGGGGCAGGGTAGGAGGTGTTGAGACAGGGTTTCTCTGTGTAGCCCTGGCTGTCTTGGAACTCACTCTGTAGACCAGGCTGGCCTCAAATTCACAGAGCTCTGTTGTTGTTTGTTTTTTACTCTTTTGGGGGGCCTGCCACCCAGGTCCCAAATAAATCACACGTGAAGGCTTATTCTTAATTATGAATGCCTGGCCTTAACTTAGCTTGCTTCCTGACAGCTTTGCTTAACCTAAATTATCCCGTCTACCTTTTTGCCTCTGGGCTTTTTTCTTTTTCTTACTTCCTATACATCTTACTTTTACTCTTAGTCCGTGGCTGGTTGCACAGCTGGGTGGCGGACCCCTGATGTCCTCATCCTCTGGCTACTTTTTTTCTCATCTACATTTCTCCTCCTATATCTTCTTTCTGCCTGCCAGCCCCGCCTATCCTTTCTCCTGCCTTGCTATTGGCCATTCAGCTCTTTATTAGACCATCAGGTGTTCTAGACAGGCACAGTAACCCAACTTCACAGAGTTAAACAAATGCAACATAAACAAAAGTAACACGCCTTAAAATATTCCACAACAGAGATCTGCCTCTGCCTCTGGCTCCCAAGTGCTGGGGTTAAACGCATGCACCACCACTTGCCTCTGCCTCCCGAGTTCTGGGATTAAAGGCGTGTGCCACCACCGCCCAGCTCTACTGTCATTTTATTTACTTGGTTGGTTTATTTTTCTGTATGTTTTGCTTTGTTATCATTGTTGGCAGTACCTGCCAGGCCAAGTGCTCTAACACTGAGTCCAGCCTTACCGTGAATGGCCATTTTAGAGACACGTTTTGAGGTGTATCCCTTGGTTGGCAGGGTTCCCAACTCTGTCACCTGCAGATCATCAGCTGATAGGTCCTAGAGTCAGTGATGTCACCAGGGATCTAGAACATAAGGGATTCATTCCTTCTACTGCAAACAAAAATACGCGTAGCTCTCATGAATATAATCTGTCACCATTTAAAAGATACGCTTTTCCTGCGTTGTGCATCCCCTAATAGAAACTCTGCAGGAGTTGCTTTGTGGTCAGTCCTGGTATATGGTACTTCCTGAGCACATTGCTGGGGCTCACACAGCCCTGTAAGTTAGTCACATGGCCTGGCCTGCAGGAGAGTGCTTGCCACACAGTGTTGGGCAGAAATGACTGGCTGTTACCACTTCAACAAACCTCGTTCTGCATCCATGTGATCCTCTATCCCACCACAGAACATGGGCTCACTTCTGAGGGTCAGCTGGTCCCTCCCAGTGTTGCTGAAACCCAGTCAAACCATGAACCTCAAGGAGAGCTTTCTGCTGGGGGCTATTTAGAATCTTTGGTACAAGGTCCTCACGGGGATGTCAAAGAACCTGCTCAAACTGCCCCAGGAGTCTCACTGCCCACTCTGTTCTGCAGGTCCAGAATGCCCAGCCACTAGTGGACACCCACCCACCCCAGACTTACAGCCACCTCTACCTGAAGTTCAAGAAGCTGAAGGTACGTGCCGCCTCCTCTGCTAACCACTTTCCCAGCTTACAAGGGGATATCAGCTCTGAGTCCCTGGACTGCGACTGGACAAGCTCTTTGGCCTTGTCAAAAGCAAGGTGTCACCTAAAAGGCCAAATGAACTGACCCTGCCCCAATGGAGCTGGCTGGTGACTGTACCAGAACCTTCCCTGACATTGCCCCATAATGGCACAGATGCAGACAGATAACGTTAAGGCGGTGTGTACAGTGAAGCTCCAGATTATTAATTAGCATCGTTCCTTTTCGTTTTTTTGGCCACTTCCAGATTTGTATTTCTTGAAGCGTAGGCCATGGGTGAGAGTGAGCCATGCATGCAGTGATCCCCTGAGGCAAACTGAAAGTGACTAACGTTGTGAGTCAGCTGAAGAGCAGCTGAGTAAACCATCGCGTCACTCAGTTTAAAAGCAGGGCTTTTCAAGAGTGGCCCCACCACTCTTTAAACCATGAACCTCAGGGAGAGCTTCCTGCTGGGGGCTATTTGGAATCTTACAGCAAGATGGGAGGAAAGACAGGAGAATCCCCGGAGGCCTGTGGGCCAAGGAGTGTGGCTTATCAAGCAGCAAACAAGAAAACCCATCTCAAACAAAACAGACCATGAAGGTGGACAGCCAAGGATGTCCTCTGACCTCCACAGGCATGCTGAGGCATGTGAACATACACACACACACAGTGCAGGAGCCTATAGGTATAATCTTTTCCTCCCTCTGGAATTAAGTATATACTTCTTCTGAGCAGCATAAATATCTCCTGAGATAATTTCCTTGCTAGTATGGCCACTGCATACTGTCAGTTTAACAGGAGACTTAAATGCACAAGATACTATAAAGGTCCTTGCTGCTGCAGCCCCATCCCAGTGTATTCAACCCACAGATGTAGTGGTCACCCTGCTTCTGTCCCAGTGCCCAGGATTATGGTGCACCTTGCTAGCTGCTGCTGACACCTCGGGGGACCTATGGCATGTGGGTTTGAAAAGTATGTCTGGAGGAACCTTGTGCTACTGAGAGGTCGCTGTGTCCACAGATGGAGGAAGAAAGACTCTCCGTCATCAACAGAGACAACTGTCTACTTCTGCAGAGGGTGGCCTCTGCCATGAGAACCAGGGGACAGACTGACAGCAGAAATCACTTCACACACAGAAGGTAACAGAGGGGCTCTTGACATTGGCCTTGGCCAGTTCCAGGATAGGCCTGGGTTCAAGGGCAGGGGACAGGGGCATGGTGATACAGAGGCAAGACATGCTTTTTTTTATCACAAGAGCCAAATTCAAAGTGCCCACACGCTCCCTGACTCCAAACTCTCCTTGAGGCTCTGAGGTGTATCAAGGCACAAGAATGGGCCCAGGGTGACAGCTGCCCAGCCACATGCCTGCTGTGTGCCATAGAACCTTTGAAACCACCATCCTCACAAGGACCAGGCAAAGTGGAGGCTGCAGAGCTTCTCATTTCACAGTGGGGAAACTGAGGTACAGTGAAGCTGCACAACAAATTTGGCCAAAATGGCCATCACTGTGGGGGGTGCAGGGTGTGTCCATTTTGCAGAGCACCCAACAGTCTTGCAAAGTGTCAGATCGTTGTCTGGGAGAGAGCAAAGGGCTCAGACCTGATGCCCGGGTGAGATCATGGCTGTCCCCTTTATGCTGGCACTGTTCTCTGAAACCTGTGATTTCTTCCAGCTTGGAATTCTGCATCCCAAGAGGATAAAGGGCAGCAGGTCTCCATGTTCCATGAAACCACTCTCTGAGCACGCTCATGAGTCCTTTCTCCTCGCTCATGCAAGAGCGGTGCTCCGTCCTTGGTGGTCACATTCCCCAGGAGAGACCTCTGCAGTCTCCCCGTTTGGGTGCAGAGTCCTGCTGGGGACTGCACAGGGCCACAGCAATGCAGGCCTTCCTGCTGATGCTCCTGGACTTAATCTCTAACCCTTTAGAGCAGTTTCCAGATTCATAATAAGCTAAACCACAGGCAAGCACCAGGCACCCAAGCCGTCAACTTGGAGGAGACAGAGATGCTGTGAATGGATCGTTAATCTAGGGTATCCTCTGTTGCAAGGACACAGAAAACTACTTGATTTAGATAGTATGAGCCAGCTGGCTGGCTTCATGAGAAAGAAGCAAAAGCCAACATTTTGGGAGAAACTATACAGTCAATAACTAGAGATTCTGTCTTCATTGAGATACATTTGGCACTTGGTAAACAATATCTTACAGTGAAGGTATACCATTTTATGGGTTTGATGTCACACCCCGAAGCCCGTCTCTTTAGTGAAGATGGTGGCACAGGACTCTTGCCATGAAGATGGGACACACAACCCTTGCTCCCAACTCTTCTAGTGACAGTCAGGGATCCTCGTGACAGCCAGGCCCTGGAGGTTGCACCAGATGTGGTTGGCTCTGTTACTGTGCATGTTCTGCAGAATGACATTGGTTTATTTTGTTGTTGTTGTTGCTGTTTGGTTTTGCAAAGACAGGGTCTCTACATAGCTCTGGCTCTTCTGGAACTCACTAGGTAACCCAGGCTGACCTTGAACTCATAGAGATCTTCCTGCCTCTGCCTCCTGGGTGCTGGGCTTAAAAATGGGGGCCACCACACCTGGCTTGATTGACATTGTTAAGGATGTTGTCGGGTCATCCTTGGGCTGCTGAGTGGCACCCTCTCCTATAGGCCACACACTGTCCATTCACCTATTGATGAGCATTTTGGTTTGTTATTGTTTGCTACTAATAAGGTTACAATGATCATTAGGTTAAAAAAAAAAAAAGCAACTTAGACCTGTGTCTGCAGAGGTCTACCAACAACTCAGTAGAAAATAGAGAATCCAATCAAGCCACCCAGAGAGAGACCCTCTGAAGGAAAAGGAGGGACTCCTTGAACATGCACCCCAGCAAAATTGATGACAAATATTGAACAATAGCCAATCATTTAATGCAGAGGTTCTCAACCTGTGGGTAGTAACCCCTTCAGGGGTTGAAGGACCCTTTCCCAGGGGTCACAGATCAGATATCCTGCACATCAGATATGTTCATGACAGTTCAGAACAGTAGCAAAATTACAGTTGTGAAGTAGCAACGAAAGAATTTTATGGTTGGGGGTCACCACAACATGAGGAGCTGTACTAAAGGGTCGCAGCGTTAGGAAGGTTGAGAACCACTGATTTCAAGGTTTTGTAAATTGTCATGAGGACTTGTAACACACGAAGAAACATTTAGTCCAAAGTATCTATTGCATCAAGGGAAGAAGCTACAGTTTTTGAACTGTGTCCACCCTAAGCTGGTTTATGCAAGACCCACCTTGGAGTCTGTGTTGGAGCTAAGGCTGGTTCACTCACCCCACCCCACCCCCGACCCACCCCATCCCCCACGGAGGTTGTGTTGGAGCTAAGGCTGGTTCTACACCGCCCTCCCCCCCCCCCATGATCTCTCTAAAATACGTGCCTCTGCCTGGTTTGTAGCACTTAGCACTTTCAAAACAGACTAGACTCTTCATACCTGTCTGTCATGCTTCTCCACATGGCCGCTGGGCCTTCCTCCCCTTCTCGATATCAACCCTCCTCTCCTTTCAAGACTCTATTCAGCATTGCCTCCTGGCTACCACCACTCTTCTCCAGCGGTATGACATCTTTACCTTGTGAGCTCAGTGCCCACTCCCCTCAGAGGACAAAAAGCATCCTGGTACACGGATGGGGAGCAAGGGTTTCTTGAATGTTTCTCGATAGGAAGCAAACGACGAGAGCCCTGACATTACCCAGAGCCCAGCAGGCCTGATGATCCATGGGCTCCTTTTGTGAATGTGGAGTGAGCTTTCTGTTCCATAACTCCTGGCTGATGAAAGAATGTATGTATTCCTTCCTGGAGTCTAAACAGGAAGACCAGAAAACAGGCGCACATGAAAGCGCAGAAACAAAACAAAGTCGTCCTGGAAAGACTCCCAAGCTCAGAGCCCTGGTATGGAGCACAGAGACCGTGGGAGGATTGGGCTGCCACCGCCAGACGTCCCTGCAAAAGCAGACGCACCTGGAGAAAAGGTACCTGCGGTTCTTGTTGTAAACATGCAGCTATCTGAAATTCTGCACTTCCTCAGGTTCATCGCACACAGATGCACTGGGTCTTTGCTGCCCGGTGCCTTGGGTACACTTGTCAGTGAATAAATGACTCGAGTGGTAAAGGGCATAGTGAAGCCTGGGCACTTCTCCTCCAGGGAATTCACCCATCTCTCTTCCCGCCCATCTCTTACAAGGAGATAAAAATGAGTTCAGCTGATTGGTTACAGGTTCAGGAGCTGGGGAGAGTTTGGTGGAGATATAACTTGGCCAGATAGCATGCTTCCAAACTCGTTTTGTAAATAACTGAATTAGCCGTTCTACATAGCATCCAGGACAAGGAGAAAAAAACCTACAACCTGGAAGAGTTTGCTAGAAAATTGTAACTTTTCCTCTTCGACTAATCCAAATCTCTGGCAAGCTCATAATTCTGAATGAAGGACAATCTAATTCCAACATCATTATTTTTACAAACATCTCAGTGAATCAAAGTAGTTAGGGGTTTTAAAATCTTCACTCACTGTCCTTATCCATGATGCTGTTTTCAAAATCAAGTCTATTCTAGGGAAATGTGCAGGTACCAAACTAATAGTAAGAATTCCAGGACATAGAGCCTGCCCTGATCAAGCCCCAGTCCAAAGATTCCACCCCACAGACCCCCTCCCCGTGACACCTGGTCTTTTAGTCCTCACTGTGCCTGTAGGGACTGAATTTGGCTCATATTATTTCTGGTCGTATGACCTTCCTATTATTTGCCTCAGCATTTCTTCTAAATTCCTGAGGCATTAGGACAAGTATTGCAAAGATGTACAATAAGAAGCAATTACTAAGTAGCAAAACACTAGGGAAATTTAGTTTGCTTTCCAATTGACATAGAGAACCTGAATGTTTTGGTTCAAACCTTGATTTGAAATACAGAGCCCTGGCATTTGGTATGGTAGAGAGTAAGGCACTGGCAGTGTGGAATGATTGCTTATGAAGCAGTGCCCCTTCTCAGATGCCATAGACGTGATCGCTGGAGCCGTTTGTGTATACTTCTACTTATTAGGTGGATCTGTTTGTTCACACAAACATGTTTTCTGTAAATTGCCCACTTCATTCAATTACATGTCATAGAAATCATTCAATGCCAGGACATAAAGGTCTTTTCTATGTGCCTTCTTAGCAGTTAGTATTTTTGTACATATATACCTTAATTTATTTATACAGACCCCAAATTATAAAAAAAAAAATCTGATTATTTTCATTATTCTAAGTGAAACTGTGATAATCATCATAGTGCATCTATATCTGTAACTTTCATTTCTAAGATGTAAAATTGTTCAATTGAAAGGTGGGCCCAGTAGATACCACTAACTTACTTTCTAGAACACTCTAGGTACTGCCCTCCGTTCTGGGTACAGAGCATTGTTTTTTCATACTCTAGCCAACATTAGCTGGTATAGATATTTTAAGATTTTGGACTATGAATTTCTGTTCATATCCTTTTATCTAATTCCCCTGGATAGTTCTTTAAGTTATTTTCAATATTTCAGTATTTACCTTTTTTCTATTGTTATTATCACAAGTATTCTTTCTCCCACACTGAACATTTCCCCTGGGATTATATTTCAGTGGTAAAATCTGCCAAGTTTTTCCTCTATGGCTTCATTTTGGTACTCTTCTAAGAGTGTGACAGTGTTTTCCCATATTTTTTCTTAAGTCTGTAACAAACATGGAATTTTTATACATTGTGTGAATTTGTTATCAAAGGATTTTAATTCTTCTTTAAGACAGAATTTCACTATGTAGTTCAGGCTAGTCTTGAACTCAGGTCCTTCTGCCTCAGCCTCCCAATTGCTAAGATCACAGGCATCCATACCCTGCCTGGCCTCAGGAAAAAAACAATGCTGAGCATAGCGGTGCACGCCTTTGCAGAGGGAGCTCTGTGAGTTCGAGGCCAGCCTAGTCTACAGAGCAAGTTCCAGGACAGCCAGGGCAGTTACACAGAGAAACCCTGTCTTGAAAAATCAAAAATAAATTAATTAATATTTAAGAATCCACTTTAAAAAAAATTAGATTGCTACCTCTGCTAACCTTTATTTATGTCTTATTGTTAACGTTTCTGCATTAGTTTTATTTAAGGTAGCCTTTAAGGACAAAGATGAATTTTGCTTTTTAGCTGAGTTTGGAGCTTTTACGTGCTAAATACTCCGTTTGCTCTCGTTTCTGATTCTTCCATTTGTTTATCCTTTGCTATTCTCCCGTTATTTTCCTATTGTTGATTTTGAGGGATTACTTTTTGTTTTCCAAGGAAAATGTTTAGAAAATACTTGGAAGTAACACTCCATTCAACCCTTCCTTTGTTTGCACGGACCGTCTCGCTCTCCCCATAAAAGGAATTGATAAAGCTGATGGCCAAGGGAGATGCTAAGGGACAGACAGACAGAAGGGAAGGCTATTCCGCTTGGAACCGGTCCCCGCCGCTGCCACCCACAGCCCACACTCCCTGTAGGATGTTGCCAGCTTGGTTCACGGGCAAGCAGAGCCTAGCAGGGGCTCCTGGGGCCGCTTCAAGGGCAACCCTGCCCCCTCTCCATCAATCCCCGCCCCCTCTCCATCAATCCCC